TTCTAGTTCAGTTCTAGTTCAGTTCTAGTTCAGTTCTAGTTCAGTTCTAGTTCAGTTCTAGTTCAGTTCTAGTTCAGTTCTAGTTCAGTTCTAGTTCAGTTCTAGTTCTAGTTCAGTTCTAGTTCAGTTCAGTTCTAGTTCAGTTCTAGTTCAGTTCTAGTTCAGTTCTAGTTCATTCTAGTTCAGTTCTAGTTCAGTTTCTAGTTCAGTTCTAGTTTAGTTCTAGTTCAGTTCTAGTTCAGTTCTAGTTCAGTTCTAGTTCAGTTCTAGTTCAGTTTCTAGTTCAGTTCTAGTTCAGTTCTAGTTCAGTTCTAGTTCAGTTCTAGTTCAGTTCTAGTTCAGTTCTAGTTCAGTTCTAGTTCAGATCTAGTTCAGTTGTAGTTCAGTTCTAGTTCAGTTCTAGTTCAGTTTCTAGTTCAGTTCTAGTTCATTTCTAGTTCAGTTCTAGTTCAGTTGTAGTTCAGATCTAGTTCAGTTGTAGTTCAGTTCTAGTTTAGTTCTAGTTCAGTTCTAGTTCAGTTCTAGTTCAGTTCTAGTTCAGTTCTAGTTCAGTTCTAGTTCAGTTCTAGTTCAGTTCTAGTTTAGTTCTAGTTCAGTTCTAGTTCAGTTCTAGTTCAGTTCTAGTTCAGTTGTAGTTCAGTTCTAGTTCAGTTCTAGTTCAGTTCTAGTTCAGTTCTAGTTCATTTCTAGTTCAGTTCTAGTTCAGTTGTAGTTCAGATCTAGTTCAGTTCTAGTTCAGTTCTAGTTCAGTTGTAGTTCAGTTGTAGTTCTGATCTAGTTCAGTTGTAGTTCAGTTCTAGTTCAGTTCTAGTTCAGTTCTAGTTCAGTTCTAGTTCAGTTCTAGTTCAGTTCTAGTTCAGTTCTAGTTCAGTTCTAGTTCAGTTCTAGTTCAGTTCTAGTTTAGTTCTAGTTCAGTTCTAGTTCAGTTCTAGTTCAGTTCTAGTTCAGTTCTAGTTCAGTTCTAGTTTAGTTCTAGTTCAGTTCTAGTTCAGTTCTAGTTCAGTTCTAGTTCAGTTCTAGTTCAGTTCAAGTTCAGTTCTAGTTCAGTTCTAGTTCAGTTCTAGTTCAGTTCTAGTTCATTTCTAGTTCAGTTCTAGTTCAGTTGTAGTTCAGATCTAGTTCAGTTGTAGTTCAGTTCTAGTTCAGTTCTAGTTCAGTTCTAGTTCAGTTCTAGTTCAGTTCTAGTTCAGTTCTAGTTCAGTTCTAGTTCAGTTCTAGTTCAGTTCTAGTTCAGTTCTAGTTCAGTTCTAGTTTAGTTCTAGTTCAGTTCTAGTTCAGTTCTAGTTCAGTTCTAGTTCAGTTCTAGTTCAGTTCTAGTTTAGTTCTAGTTCAGTTCTAGTTCAGTTCTAGTTCAGTTCTAGTTCAGTTCAAGTTCAGTTCTAGTTCAGTTCTAGTTCAGTTCTAGTTCAGTTCTAGTTCAGTTCTAGTTCAGTTCTAGTTCAGTTCTAGTTCAGTTCTAGTTCAGTTCTAGTTCAGTTCTACTTCCGTTCTAGTTCAGTTAAAGCTTCTTTAATTTTTATTGAAACTGTCCGTTAATATTGCAAATTTTTTATAATTTAAATATTTTTATATGTATATTATATGTATTTTTCAAAGAAAATTTTATTTAAGTTATGACATTTTTTAATAAATTTTAATTTTTATGTATCAATAAAACAAAAAACACATTGAAAACCCAGCAACGTCAGTACATAATAATAACAACAATACAAATCGAAATATGAAAAAGGGGTCAAAAAAAATAAAAAATAAACAAAAAACAATTGTATATTAAAAAATAATTAACTACAACAAATTATAAAACAAAAAATTCAAACACAAATTAAGTAAAAAAAATAAAATCTTATTTAATTTTAAATTTAATAAAACTTACTCTTTAAACAAAAGAATAAAACAAAAGCATACTTACACACATACTACATACACCCTACATTTATTATATATATTTAAAACAAATACAACAACAAAAACAAGTAAATAAAATATAAATTATATATTTAATAATTTAAAAGAAAAAACAAAAAACACTTATTATCTCGACCATGAATCGATAGTCGAGAAACGACAATAAACTGTGAAAAATTGTGTTTAATATTATAAAGAAAAAATAAAAAAACAAATTAAAACTAAAAATAAATAAAAAATTTAAATAAAATAAAAAAAAAACAAATTCTCTTAAAACTATAAAACCAAAACTTATTTCATTATGTCTTAAAACAACAACAACAAAAAATAAACAAATTATAGCAACAAATGAAAACAAACCCAAAATCTCATTAAAAATGTGAAAATATTGCATTAAAAAAATATTATTATAAAAAAATGAAAAAAAAAACTTATAAAAAATTATTATGAAAAAATGAAAAATAAAAAATTGTTTTCTAATAAAAATAAAAAACTGTGGTTTTAATTTGAATTGTTTAACGAAATTGAGTTTCATAAGGGAGTTGTGTTCAATTGTGGTCCAATAGAGTGTAAAATGTTCAGTTCTAGTTGAGTTCTAGTTCAGTTCTAGTTCAGTTCTAGTTCAGTTCTAGTTCAGTTCTAGTTCAGTTCTAGTTCAGTTCTAGTTCAGTTCTAGTTCAGTTCTAGTTCAGCTCTAGTTCAGTTCTAGTTCAGTTCTAGATTCGGCCAGTAGTTTTCTAGATTAAACCAAACAAAAAAAAATAAATATGAAATTTTGTTGTAGTATGGGTCCTAGGTCCAACATTCATCAAAATTTCAGATTTTTTTATTTTTGCTTCAAACTCGGGAACTACAGGCCGAATCTGGCTGCGAACCCACCTTGCTGGTAAAATCCCATGCTGACATTCAAGATTAGTACATAAGCTGAATCCGAATATGTACTCATAGTGGACGTGAAACCAACATTTCATGAACATTTCTTAACAAAATTTCAGTCCGATTTTACTACAAAATTTTATGTCATCTCAAAATTTTCCAAAATTTCCTCTACATTTGTTGGTTCCTGTCTTGACTTTTGAAAAATCGTGGGATATCTGGTTCCAAACTTTATTTGCTGAAATTTTTATGAAATATTGGACCTAGCTCAATTCTGAAACCATATTCGAATTCATCATAGATTTTAGATTTAAACGAATTCATCATAGATTTTGGTCTTAAATGACAAATTTCCCGAAAATAAGAGTACAAATTGTTCAGAATAAAAAAAATTCGGGAATTTTAATGACACAATGGACCTAGGTCCATTCTGAGTTCATTTTCGGATTCAGCATGGGATTTTACCAGAAAGGTGAGTTTCCAGCCAAATTCGGCCAGTAGTTTTCAAGATTAAAGCAAACAAAAAAATAAAGTTTTGTTGTACTATGGGTCTAAGTCCAACATTCATTAAAATTTCTATTTTTTGCTTTAAACTTGGGAATTTAAAAAAAATCATAATTTTCTAAAATTTCCTACATTTAAGGGTGGTGATCCCGCTATGATGATAGATGTTGCCTTACCATCACCAGCCACAACGATATATAATCCAGGCTTTAAAGAACCAAGAACTAAAAATTTTAAGAAAGGCATTTCTGTGACCAAACCATATACTGACAGACAGTGGCTCGGACAGTGTGGCCTCTATGAGGTCCCTAGTGTTTTCAATGGATCAACTGTAGAATCTTTTACATTCTCACCTTTAAGATCTAGTTTAAAAAAAACCTTGACCAAGACCAGAAACACCATGAGTATTCAAAATCCCTGCTACTCCAGGTTAGGTAACTCACGGCCCATGCGACGTAATGGTGCATACAAATACACAGCACGGAAGTTTAGAGGAGGGGGCTGTAGGGAAAAGGGAAAAAATGTGAATTTCTGAAAGAGGGGTTATACTGGGGCAAGGACAAGGGGAGGGATTTCTACATTAAAGTTATTTATAGAGAATTTCATTGTGATATTAGTGTTTATAAGTGAATTTTGACCTTCAAGTCATTATCTGAAGGGGACTTTTTGTGGGGGCCAGGGTCAAATGAGGCCCGATCATTATAAAAATCGGTAATATCATTTATACTTATATATCATTATACATTTTCACTTATATAAAACTAAGCCTTACCGATTTCAGTAGAGCTACAAAAGCATTTAACATAATTATGAGCTTAAAAGCCCTATTCGGGGGGTACGGTGGTATGGGGGCTAGGCGAAATAATGTACCAATCAATAGGCTTTTGATTCAAAAGAAGAGTATATGCCAAATTTCATTAAATTATCTTGAAAATTGTGACCTGTATCGTGCGCACAAGGTTAACATGACCACACAGACGGACAGGCGGACGGACGGAGACACGGACATAGCTAAATATACTCAGAAAGTTACTCTGAAAGGATTGTTATACTTTAAGGGTGTAGGACCAATATTTTTGGGTGTTTGAAACATCAGCACTATAGTGGTGCAGGATATAAATAATTCCGATCTAATGAATTTTTCGATTTGACGAAAGGGTCTGACATTATATCATTCATTATACCGGGAGTTGTCTGTATTTGAATAATGTCGATCACCCCAATAAAAATATACAAGGTCAATAATTTTTCATTTAAATTTCAAATGATATTTTAACAGATTCATGGCAATATCTTGTACTCATTAATTTTACAATCAGTTATATAAAATCAAAATATATTTCGAAATTATTAAATTCTCACATAAAAATGCATTCAACTGTTCCAACGAAACAGGATAGAATCTATTCCACATCACTTTAACAGAAAACATCTGTTTAAATCATTAATATTTTTTTTATGAAATCTCATATAAAAGATGCTGCCTTTATTCTTTCATATGTGTCTTCAAATAACTGATAAGAAATCTTTTATTCTTTTTTTTTTTAAATTTATGAAATTAATAGTTTACTTTTAATCAAAATTTTTTTTAATATTGTCTTTGGTGATAAGTACTTAATAGCAAGTACTCACTACATATGTTGATTATGAAACGTCATTAATGTTGCTAGACAAAAATTGTCAGCTTAGAGTATTGGAAGTATTAATTTCATATTAGTCTAGTTTTAAACTTCGAGCGCTGCGGTACGGTTTGGGATAAAAGAAAATTTGTGATTGAAAAAAAAAATGTATTGAAATTAAAATATAAAAAATAAGTACAAAAACAAAATATAAAATGAATTTAATAGTGAAATCAAATTTAATATTATCACTAGTTCTATTAATAAAGTTGTTTGCAACAGATTCTGCTTTAGCTGTGCCCAATGGTGTGTGATTTAAAAAATATTGTAACTTATTTTATTATAACCAAAATATGTACATACATATGTATATAATATATTTATCAAAATAACAATATTCGCATAAATATTATAAACTATTTCCAATGAAGTTGAGCTTCAATCTGTTTAACTACTGCATAAATGTAACAATTTATCTAACAGCCTAGCTTAATCACCTTCTAAGCCAACGAAATCAAGAACAACTAGTCTTCAATAATCTCAGCGAAAGAATTACATCCAAACTAAAAGTTTGATACCCATTTTTTTATGCATGACTTCTAACGTTATACCAAAGCAATGACAAGTTCATGTCTAAACTATTACTTCTACTACTACTACTACATGGACACACAGACGGACGTACAGACGGAGAGACATACGGACGGACAAACAGACAGACATAGATAAATTTACCCAGAAAGTTATTCTGAGCCGATTGGTATACTTTAAGGTTGGTGTGGGACCAATATTTCTGGGTGTTACAAATATTAGAACAAACGCATAATACCCTCCCCACTATAGTGGTGTAGGCTACAATCAGATTTATAAATAAAATTTTTGGAATAAAATTGATTTTTCGATGAAAAATAAACTTCTGATTCTTATAGAAATTTATTTCGAAATATTGTTTGAATGATTCGAAATACATTGACATTTTTGTTACCCAGAAAAAACTTATATTGAAAAGAATGGGAGTATAGTTAGGTAAGTACTTAGAACGATCGCCTTGAAATAGGGAGTTATATTAGTAGTTTGTTTTAAGTGAGGAAATTGCCTACAATGATAAGTCCACTACGTCTATTATTAGTTTTCAAAAACAAAATATTTTTATAGTGGGAAGGATATTATGCGTTTGTGCTGATGTTTGTAACACCCACCCTAAAGTTTACCAATCGGCTCAGAATTCTATGTCAGTCTGTCCGTCTGTGTGTCCATATAAACCTCCATGTCGCAATGTTCAAGATAATTTTATGAAATTTTTCACACTCTTCTTCTGACGAAGTCTATTGAAAATGTTTGAAATCGGTCAATTATTTTGCCTAGCCCCCATTCAACCGTATCCCCCCGAATAGGGCTTTTGAGTTTATAGTTATGTTATATCTAGTAGTTTTATAGAAGTTTAAATATAATACTGCCGATTTTCGTAATGTTAGAACCTCTTATGACCATAGCTCCCATACAAAGTCCCCTTCAGAAAATTACTTGAAGGTGGAAAGTATCACATTGAAATTCTGAGTAAATACAAGTCATTACCCAGCAAAATCTTGCATTGAAATGTAAGGGGTTCAAATTTAGAGGACATAATAGGGTCATACTATATAATTTAAGGAGGCGTGAACCTAACTAGTGCAAAATTTCATCACGATTTCTGATAAATAGTTTCCGATAGCTGTGTATTATAGGACCGATATTGCTCATTCTCAATACCGAACAAATCCTTCTCGTTTAAACCATAGACAGACGGACATGTCAAGATCGTCTTAGAATTTATTAAGGACGCATAATATACATTAGGATCTACGACCAATATTTCGATGCGTTTACAAAATCATGATAAATCATAGCACAGCCGCCTGAAATTTGAACTGCGGGAGTGTCTTTTGCCAAATGGATCCAGAAAGAGGGATTTTTTTTTGAAGTTCAAATGCTTAAAGGAAAAAACTGATTGCCTTATATCTCTTAAACTAATACGGTTACCAAAAAATCCAACCCATAATCGGCTATGCCTTATATATCCGGATATATATCAGATCATATGTCCTAAAGATAAAGTTAATTTCGGATAGTGGCTCTATATATAAACTTAGATAATCTCATTGCTTAAGTGGCATTTTGAATCACATAATTTTCTGAGTGGAACCTCAATTATTGAGGGTGTAGTGTCAATTATGAACCGATCTTCATCAAATTTGGTAGAGATGTTTAAAGACAATTTTGTTAAAGTTTGAAAAAATAGTTGATTTAGTAACAAAATAGCGAGTGAAGTGATATTTAGAATTCAGGTATCATAGGTATATACATATCTATGTATGTGTGTATGTACATTAATCGGTGAATCGAACTATAATTAAGTCAAAAATCTTTATTGGATAACCGATCAAAAATCTCTTTGATTACATTTTTAGCTGATGTCTCATATTTCTTTTTATTGAATATTGCATTATTTGCCGGAAATACTTTATAAATTAAACACTAGCCGAGAGTGCTCAAAGATCATATAAAATTCAATTAAATGATAACCCACATAATTAGAAATAACTTAAGAAAAAACAATAATTTAAAACAAAGCTCACAAAAAATCGTATAAATAAAACAAAGCATGCATTATTTTTCTATTAATCAATGTCTAATTCTCTTCTAATCTGCCTCTCTCTCATAAAAAAGCATATGCTGGTCAAGAGTACTATGATCAAGATGAAGACGAAGATTTTGTGCCCATAAGTCCCTGTAATGTAGTACGTCCTGGTGATCCAGATTTAACCACCTATGATATTATATCCTCGTATCGTTTCGATGAATATCACTATGAATATCAGGGAGTTCAACAAATAGTGGGATCAACTGGTTACCAGCAGGCTTATCATGTTAGTGAATACTCTAATATGACTATTGAATCATCACGTGCCTTTCCCAAGGGTATACCCGATGAATTTTCATTTGAGTGTACTTTCCGAGTGCCCCAACCACAACCCATACTCGAGGAATGGTATCTGTTTGAACTGTCCGACTATGAATATCATTCACAAATGAATGTTAAGCTATTGCCACAAGAAAGTGCTATAGAATTTTCTTTGCCCAAATATGATGGTTCCATACAGACGGTTACTTTTGAAGAGACAGAGGTTGGTATTTTATGGCATAACAACAAGAGATTGCTCTTAATCCAATTTATATTTAGATATTTGATCGTTCTTGGCATAAAGTTATGTTGGGTGTGGGTCAAGATGGTGTACGTTTATGGGTGGATTGCAAGCCAGTGCCAGATAAAAGTGGTAGTCTAAAAGCTCCGCTAGATGTAAGAGGTCCCATTGATGCCACAGATGGTTCCTTTTCGGTGGCAAAAAAATGCCACAAACAAGAAACTGTGCCAGTAAGTTGAAAATCAATCAAAATACTCGGTTCATTTAATGCAACAATTTCCCTTTTAGATCGATTTGCAATGGATGATATTCAGCTGTGATAAAGATAAACCCGAACATACCAATTGTGAGGATATACCACAATATGCACGTGCTCCTAAGGGTATGATCCAATATGAAACAACAACTTTTCGTAGTAGCTATACACCCTCCTCCCCTAGCATTTGGGAAAGGGAAGAAGAAACTACCCCAAATCCTTTAGATTTGAAATTTGCCGAACCCACCTCTCCTCAGCCTTGGATTATAAGTAGTACTCCGAATTATTTAATTGGTAAAGATCTTTTGGCTTGTCCCGAACAGTGTCCACGTGGCCCCCCTGGACCACCAGGTCCTCCGGGTCCTCGAGGTTCGACAGGAGCACAAGTAAGCAAAATCTTACTTAATTAAAAAAAATAATAATATATTTAAACATTTTTCAGGGATTAATGGGTGTGCCCGGTACTCCAGCCTCATCGTTTGGTCGTTATGAATCGGCAGCTGTGAAAGGTGAAAAGGGTGAACCTGGTTTGGTGGGTTTAACTGGAGCTCCGGGCTTACCTGGAGAACCCGGTCAACCTGGTGTACCTGGTCAAAAGGGTATAGAGGGTTTGCCAGGACCACAAGGTCCTCCCGGTTTTGGAGCCAGAGGTATTATTTCACTTTCTAGAAACAATGAGTGATATAACATATTTTTATAATTTCTAGGTTTAATAGGTGAACCTGGTTTGCCTGGTGAAAAAGGCGAAAGAGGTTTACCCGGCTTAGATGGTGCTAATGGTGAACCTGGCCCCGTGGGTCCACCCGGACCACCAGGTCCTCCTGGCCCAGCTGCTGCTGTACAAACTGCTGATTACTTGCCTTATCCCAATCCAGGAATGATTGGTCCTATGGGACCAGCCGGACCTCCTGGTCCAGCAGGACCTCCCGGCCCCCCAGGTCCACCAGGACCAGAAGTAATGAACAGTCGTAATATTGATGAAAGAGAAATTCGTGATATTTGTATGGCTGTTGTTAGGGATTACATTAGTGAAATATCTGCCACACTAGTAGGACCTCCAGGACCACCTGGCAAAAGAGGAGTAGGACGTCCTGGACCCAGAGGAGCTCAGGGATTACAGGGTATATATAATATAACTTTGTCATTTTATTCTTAAAAGCAATATGAATATTTAAATATTAATAGGTGAACCGGGAGTTCGCGGACCTCAGGGTGAACGTGGTTATCCTGGCATACCTGGTAATCCTGGATCTACTGGTGATATGGGTCCGCAAGGACCACCCGGTGAAAAGGGTGACAGGGGAGAACCGGGAGTTGGTAGAGAAGGTCCCATGGGACCTATGGGTCCACCTGGTCCTGAAGGCCATGGTATTGATGGTATACCTGGTAGACCTGGCGATCGTGGTGATGTAGGAAGACCAGGTTAGTACAATTTGTTGATAATAAAATAAGTCTTAGATGTTCTAATTAACTAACATTTTATTTTGTTTATCCACTCATAGGCGAACCTGGTCTTAGAGGACCTCCTGGTGAACCTGGCTCTTGCCCAGACTGTTCGGCTTATCAGGCTGCTTACGCTTATCCATTGCTTTTGGCTCAACAGCAACAGAACAACAAAGGTCCCCAAAACTACTACAATAAAGGACCACCAAATTATTATAATAAGGGATAATTATTAATAAAACAACTTAAATTTTGTAAAAGAAAATATACCAAATAAGATCTTTATGGACACTGAATGCTTTCAAATCATTAACATAACTTCAAGCATTTCAAAAAAGTACGTGAATAAAAAGTAGGCTTCAAGAGCTTTTCATCCATATCACTTTTAAATCGCTTTGGCAATACAGAAGCTATAAGCGTTTAAATCTTTGTGTTATTCAATTTTAATCTTAATGTTATGCTCCTTTATACTTTCTTCCTCGAAATTGTTCCATCAAAGCTTGAAAACTTATAATTCGAAAAATGTTTAATTTATTGAGAAGTTTTATCAAGTGAAGGTTAGGATTTCAGCTATCATAATGATAATATTTGCCAAAAAGTAAGTCAAAGTTGTTGAAAATAGCAAATATATGTGTACGCCCATTTTTCATCCCTAATAGAGGGCGTGGCAACTTTTTTATTGTTTGAAATGGGTAACCCATTTTCGTATCTATCCATAAACACAATTTCAATAAATTATGTTAAATGAGAACCGAAATGTTACGGAAATTTAAGTTAATCTTAAAGGACACAACTGGAAGTGTTTGGCATTGTTCCGACAAACTTTGGAACATTATAACTCGAGAAATGTTTGATCTATTATGAAGAATGTTATATCAAAGAAAAGTTTAGGATTCCAGCTACTAGATTGGTAAATTCCTTTGGCCAAAAAGTAAGTAAAAGTTGTTCAAAATAACAAATATATGTTTACGCCCATTTTCGTCCCTAACAGAGGGCGTGGCAACTTTTTTATTTTATGAGAAGTGTTCCCCGTTTTCTTTTTTATACACACATAAAATTTCATTAAATTATCTTGAAAAACAATCGAGATATTACGATAATTTAAATTGATGGTAAAATACACAACTAGCAGTTTTTGTCATTGCCGCGGCAAAGTTTGGAACCTTATAACTCGAGAAATGTTTGATATATTGTGAAAAAGTTATATCTAAGAAAAGTTTAGGATTCCAGCTATTAGATTGATAAACTCGTTTGGCCTAAAAGTAAGTAAACATTTTTGAAAATAACAAATATATGTTTACGCCCATTTTCATCCCTAAGAGAGGGCGTGGCAACTATTTTATTTTATAAAAAGTATTCTCCATTTTCTTCTTTATCCACACACAAAATTTTATTAAATTAACTTGAAAAGCAACGGAGATATTACTTAAAATGCAAAAGTTTAATTTACGCGCAAGTGAGAAAAAAATGAAATTTCAAAAATTTGAAAAACACCAGGTCACCAGAACCTGATAGTAGGTGGATTTCTACACACCATTTTCTTTAACTTGATATATCTAAAAAACTACTTGAGATATTTAAGTGAATGTTTTACTATGAAATAGATTGAAAACTTGGCTACAAGGTGGGCGACCTTTGGCCCGCCAGGCTTTTCCGCAAAATGTCTAAAAAGTGGAATTCATTGTTAAGATGGGTATATCTTACTTCATAATGAACATAGAGAGTTATATGATAGCTCATAGGAATCACAATATTCCATTCTATGAGTGTGTGAAGTTTTATTTGAAAACTTTTAAAATTTGTCGAAATATTGAATAAACTCAAAAAACAATTTTAGGACAAAACAGGCAGTTTTTGGCATTGTTCCACCAAAGTTTGGAATCTTATAACTAGAGAAATGTTTGATGTATTGCGAAGAAAGTTATATCAAAGGAAAGGTTAGGATTTCAGCTATTAGATTGGTAAATTCATTTTGCCAAAAATTGAGTAAAAGTTATTGAAAATTGCATATATATGTTTACGCCCATTTTTCATCCGTAGTAGACGGCGTGGCAACTTTTTTTATTTTTGTATAAATATGCAACATTTTTGTTTCTATCCACAAACAAAATTTCATTATATTATCTTAAAGAATAACCGAGATATTGCGGAAATCTAAGTTGATGTTAAAGGACACAACTGGCAGTTTTTGGTATTGTTCCACCAGAGTTTGGAATCTTATAACTCGTTTAATGTTTGATCTATTGCGAAGAAAGTTATATCAAATGAAAGGTGAGGATTTCAGCTATTAGATTGTTAAATTCATTTTGCAAAAAAGCAAGTCAAAGTTTTTGAAAATCGCACATATATGTTTACGCCCAAACAAAATTTCATTAAAATATCTTAAAGAACAACCGAGATATTACGGAAATCTAAATTTATGTTAAAGGATACAACTGGCAGTTTTTGGCATTATTCCAGCTATTTTGATAGTATTTTGTTACGATCATTGGTATCCATTTGAATCGTCTAAATCTAGTTATCTAGTTATTGTGACCGCAATTAGTGTAAAATTTATTTCAAAATCTAATTAACTTACCATAAAATTTAATTAAAATACAAAATCTTTTATATATTTTTTTTCAATTTTTTTTATTAATATTTTAATATCAATTAGTTTGTTTTCGTTACGTTTTGTTTTTAATATTTTTAATATTTTATAAATGTTTATCTTTTATATTGTTGTTATTATTACTTAAAGTTTACTTATTTATTAATAACTTTATGTTAGTTTTTATTTATTTTATTTTTTGCATTTTCGTTAATAATTATTTTGTAAAATTGCACAATTTTTGGTAAATGATAAAATGAAAATGTTTGTATATTATCATTAAAAAAAGTTAAAAGAATTTAGAAACTTTAAGTTTCTTTTTGCATTCCCAACAAACTTAATTAATTTTATGAATGAATAAAAATTTACAAAAATGGCACATGCTTTTAATAATATATAAAAAAATTATATTATAATGAGTTGTTTTTTATTTATATTGTTAAGTTTAATATAATGAGAATAGTAGTAGTAGTTGTAAGTTTTTATATAAAAAAATTATTATTAATAAATAAAACTTTGTGTATATACAACATAAACTAATTAAAAATTAGTTTTTAAAGTTTATTATTAATATTTTAATTGTTTTAATAGAAAATTAATACACAAATTTGATTAAAGGTACGTTCACATCTATCAAATATTTGATGAAAAAGATGTTACCATTTTTTTGTACAAGTTTTCTTGATCTTATGTGATTCTTTTAATTGGAAATAATGTTGAAATTGATTATAAAGACTTATAAGTAATAACTTTAAAGATATGAAATGAATATTTGATAGATGTGAACATACCTAAAGTTGGTTTATTTTTATTTTAAGCGACAGGATCACATCTTGTCGAAAGATTTCATTTGAAATTTGTCAGATCTATAAACTTGAGTAAAGACTGATCATTGAACTCGATTATATCTTAGTCCGTTCTATAAACTGTACCATATTCTTAGCTATAAACTCTGTTCATACATTCGACTATAACATATCGTCTATAAAGTCGGCTAAATTTTCGTATATAAAGTCGACTAAAGTCTCGTCTATAGACTCGAATGCAGAATCCTCCATAAATACGATTAAAGTTTCATTTATAAACTCGACTATAGACTGTCAATATCTTCAAAAATTCTTCTACAGACTCGTCGACTATAGACACCTCTGTAAAGTCGAGCATATTCTCATTTACTATACAAAAAAAGTCAATTAAAATTGATTTTAAAGACTCAAAAATTTCGCCTGTAAACTCAACTAAAATTTCGTCTATAAACTTGACGAGTCTATATCTATTAACTCAATTATAGAATCGTTTATAAACTCGACTACAGTCTCGCCTATAGACTCGTACACTAAATACACTTAAGGCTCGTCTAAAAACTCGTCAATAAACTCAACTAATCGCGTCTGTAAACTCGACCATAGTCTCGTCTATAACCTCAATAATAGTTTCATCTATAAACACCACCCTAGTCTAGTGTATCAAATCGGCTATATCCCTGTCGATAAACTCGTCTGCATAAAGCCTCATCTATAATGTCAGCTAAAGTCTCGTATATAAACACGGATGCAGATTCCTCTATAAATTCGATTAAGTTCTCACCTATAAATTCGACTATAGACTGTCAATGTCTTTATTCTATAGACTCGTCCATAAACTACATTATATGAAAGAAAGTCACTTACAATTTATTCTAAAGATTTAACAAATTTGCCTATAAACTAGACTAAAATTTCATCTTTAAACTTGACTTTAATCGCTTCTGTAAATTCGACCGTAGTCTCGTCTACAAGCTAGACAAAAGTCTCGTCTATAAACTAAAGACTCACCTAAAGATTCATCTACAAACTCAGCTAAAGACTCGTCTATAAATTAGACAAAAATTTCGTCTATTAACTCGAATACAGTATTGTCTATAAAGACGACTATAAAAATTACTGTAGGTTTGTCTATAAACTCGAATGGAATCTCTTTTATAAACTCGACTATAGTCTCGTCTATAAACTCCAACACAGTTTCGTCTACAAACTGGACTAAATAAAGACTTGCCTATAAATTCGACTACAGTCTCATCAATAAACTCGACTATAACCTCGTCTATAAACTCGACTATGGACTAGTCTATAAACTCGAATATAATATCGTCTATATCTTTAAAATCTTATAAACTCGACTACAGTCTCGTTTATAAACTCTTCTACTAAAGACACGTCCATTAACTCGTCTAAAAACTCGTCAATAAAAGTTTGTTTTAATACAAAAGCTTATTCGATTATGATTACAGTAATGACATTGGATCAAACTTTTATTGATTCAATGTTATATATATAGACCCAGATGTGATCTGTCATTCATTTCGATTTTGATTTCGACATTTGGTTAGACTAGTCTATAAACTCGAATATAGTATCATCTATAAACTCGACGAGCCTATATCTATTAACTCAATTATAGAATCGTCTACTAATGACCCTTCCATTAACTCGTCTAAAAACTTGTCAATAAAAGTTTTTGACTTTGGATCAAACTTTTATTGATTCGATGTTAAATATAGACCCAGATGTGATCTGTCATTAATTTCGATTTCGAGATTTGATTGATTTTCTACAAATGTCATTTAATGCAATTTTATTTTGTTTCTTATTATATTTTTTCCCAAATTTGTTTTTGTTTGTTATTTATTATTGTCCTTATAATATTTACTTTTTTTGTTTTTCTTTTTTGTTTAACAATACTTTTGTTGTCATGCAGATAGTTTAACTTTAATGACTTTTAGTTGTTTGTAAATGAATAGTGTTGGGTTTTATAAGGGTTTTAAACTTTAACAGGCTGATAAAAGGATTAAAAAAAAAAAATATTGAATAATTTACTCAAAAAGATTACAAAATTCTTTTAAAAATTAAAGAAATTTTATTAAAACATAAAAACTGTAGGAAAATTTTTTATTATCAAGTTTTAAATTTAAACTTTTAAACAACAGTTAACTGTTTAAATTTAAAAATTTTTATCAGCCATTTAAGTTTATTTTCTGGATTTTGTTTGATATTTTTCTTTGTAGTTGTAAGCCGTTTAGGTATTTTTAAATTATATTTGTAATTAATTGCTATTTTTTAAACTTAAATATTAATTATTTACAACTGCTGTTTTTTTGTTAAGATTTTCTTGTTTTTAGTTTAAGTTATACTTAGAGTTTATAATAAAAACATAAACAATTATAAAATTACTTTAAAGATCAGTCATTAATTATAAAAGCATAAAACAGATAAATTAAAATTTCATAATATTTGATTTAAAAGAAAAAACTACTCAACAATTCTAACTGAAAATATTTTCAAAGTTTTTAAGTTTGAAATTGAAAACATCGAAAGAAATTGATCCCACATAAGTAGAACAGTACACGTTTTAGGGAACCTTGTAATTTAGAGACCAAACATAAGTTCGAATTTAAAAAAATATTATAATAAACAACCATTTTTAAGATTTTTGAATAAAAGATCGAATTTACGAAAATATACTCTTTTATTCTAAAATACTTAAAACATTTTCCACTATAAGTTGTTGTAAAAATTTTATTGAGAATCAGCTTCAAACTTTTTCAAATATATCGTCGAATTTATGTTGTATTGAGATTCTATAGACTTGACTGTATGGCTTGTCTTTTAATTCATCAGTAGATTCGTCCACAAATTTGATTACAGACTCGACTCTTTTCTATAAACTCAATAAAAGTCTTGTCTATAAACTCACTATAGTCGACCCTAGTCTTGTTTATAAAGTCGACTAAGGTCTTGTAAACAATCGACTCATATATAAAGTTGACCACCGTTTCACCTATAAAAACGACTATAGTCTCGTCTGTAAAGTTGTCCCTAATCACGTCTAAAAACTCATCTAGGAACTCAACTAAAGACTGGTCTAAAAACTCGACTAAAGACTAAAATAAACACTCAACTAAAGATTCGTCTAGAAATTCGACTAAAGACTAAAATAAACTCTCCATGATAGACTTTTCTATAAACTCGAAAAGTGGTCGTCTAAAGTTTTATCCATAAACTCCATTATGCTCATTTATTAACACATCTATAGACTTATATATAAATTCGATTTTAGTCTCGTCTATAAACTCAAGTTATTACTCATCTATAAACTGGACTCTAAACTGGAGTATAGTATCTTCTATGAACTCAATTAAAGACTAGTCTATAGACTCAACTTTATTCTCATCTACAAACTCAACTAAAGACTTGTCTCGTCTACAAAGTTGACCATGATCTTGTCTAAAAACTCATGTACAAACTCGTCTAAAAACTCATCTACATTTATTAACACGACTATAGACTTGTTTATAAACTCGATTTTAGTCTCGTCTATAAACTCAACTTTTTACTCATCTATAAACTGGACTCTAAACTCGAGTATAGGCTCTTCTATGAACTCAATTAAAGACTAGTCTGTAGACTCATCTTTATTCTCACCTATAAACTCAACTAAAGAGTCGTCTCGTCTACAAACTCACCTACAAACTCGTCAAAAAACTCATCTACAAGCTCGTCTAAAAACTCATCTACATTTACTAACTCGACTATAGACTTGTTTATAAACTCGATTTTAGTCTCGTCTATAAACTCAACTTTTTACTCATCTATAAACTGGACTCTAAACTCGAGCATAGTCTCTTCTATGAACTCAATTAAAGACTAGTCTATAGACTCAACTTTATTCTCATCTATAAACTCAACTAAAGACTCGTCTCGTCTACAAAGTTGACCATAAACTCGTCTACAAACTCACCTACAAACTCGTCTAAAAACTCATCTACATTTATTAACTCGACTATAGACTTCTTTATAAACTCGATTTTAGTCTCGTCTATAAACTCAACTTTTTACTCATCTATAAACTGGACTCTAAACTCGAGTATAGTCTCTTCTATGAACTCATTTAAAAACCAATCTATAGACTCAACTTTATTCTCATCTATAAACTCAGCTAAAGACTTGTCTCGTCTACAAAGTTTACCATAATCTCGTCTACAAACTCGCCTAAAAACTCATCTACAAACTCGTGTAAAAACTCATCTACATTTATTAACTCGACTATAGACTTGTTTATAAATTCGATTTAAGTCTTGTCTATAAACTCATCTTTTTACTCATCTATAAACTGGACTCTAAACACGAGTATAGTCTCTTCTATGAACTCAAATAAAGTCGAGTCTATAGACTCAACTTTATTCTCAACTATAAACTCAACTAAAGGGTCGTCTCGTCTCGAAGTTGACCATAATCTCGTCTACAAACTCACCTACAAAATCGTCAAAAAACTCATCTACAAACTCGTCTAAAAACTCATCTACATTTATTAACTCGACTATAGACTTGTTTATAAATTCGATTTAAGTGTCGTCTATAAACTCAACTTTTTACTCATCTATAAACTGGACTCTAAACTCTAGTATAGTCTCTTCTATGAACTCAATTAAAGACGAGTCTAAAGACTCAACTTTATTCTCATCTATAAACTCAACTAAAGACTCGTCTCGTCTACAAAGTTGACCATAAACTAGTCTACAAACTCACCTACAAACTCGTCTACAAACTCACATACAAACTCGTCTAAAAACTCATCTACAAACTCGTCTAAAAACTCATTTACATTTATTAACTCAACTATAGATTGTTTATAAATTCGATTTAAGTCTCGTCTATAAACTCAAACTTTTACTCATCTATAAACTGGACTCTAAACTCATGTATAGTCTCTTCTATTAACTCAATTAAAGACTAGTCTATAGACTCAACTTCATTCTTATCTATAAACTCAGACTCGTCTAGTCTCCAAAGTTGACCATAATCTCGTCTAAAAACTCATCTACAATCGACTGAATACTAAAATAAATACTCGACTATAGTGTCTTCTATAAACTCGACTAAAGACCCCTTGGCTTGTCTATAAACAGAACTATAGACTACTCTATAAACTCGCCTAGTAAATACTCGTCCATAAACTCGTCTATAGACGAGTTTTTTAATGCAAAAGCTTAATCGAATATAATTTCATTTAAGTTGGAGTTTTCAAAATTTGATTTTCAAATTTTAATAAATTTTATAAATTTTTTCTAAAATTAGAATTATTGAGTAGTTTCCTGTTTACAATAAATTGTATATAAAAAACAAAAAATTAATTTCAGAGAAGAGAAATTTCGTTGTAAATTTTATATAGTTCAAAGAGTAGAGAGAATAACAGAGAGACAGTTGGTTTTTAAAATCAGACAAAAAAATACTTTAAAGGGGCATATCACAAAAAAATTGCTAAACTGGATGATAAAATCTAAAATATATAAAACTTTGGACACGTTCGTGCATGTCTCAGAAAGCATAATGACATTGAAATCAATAACAATTTCACAAAATTTTTTTCCCTCAATATATTAAATTGCAACTATCATTCGAAATTCTGTGATATGCCCAAATTCATTTTGTATTATTTGAAACATAATTACTTTAAGTTAAACTTAATTTATACAGATTTTTTCTTATTAATATATACAATTACATTTTATAAAGTATAGACATAAAAACAAATAATACAGTAGTGATTTTTAAAAATTAAAAGGTTTTTGTAAGGTTTTCTTTCGTTTAGGTTTTCTATTATTAGTACTAAAAAAAATGTAAGACTTAAAAACTACTTAAAGTCTGTCTGTTTTAATTTAAATATTAATAATTAATATTATAATAATTATTACTTAAGCCTTAAATAGTATTTAGTTAGCTTAAAATTAAGCTTAAAAAAAAGAAAGAAAATTATTAATATTATTTTAATATTAAAAGTATTTTTATAACTAAATAACTTATTTGGATTTGTGTATAATTTTTTTTTAGTTTTTAGATTATTTATAATAATTTTTGGTTTAAACAATTGTTCACTTTCATTAATTTTTAGAGATTTCTTTTAAATATTTTGTTGTGTGTAATATATATATTTTTTGGAAATATTCAATGTTCTGTACTAACAGTTTCATCGATATTACTGTCCCAATTGAATTCGGTAACACCCTGTTTATAATAAATATTGCCTAAATTGGCAAAACGTTTTTCAAAATCGTTGTCTTTAGCTTTAAGATGTTCAAATCTAAAATTGCAAAGAAAACAAACAATTATTTACAGTAATTAAATAATTTTTTTAATTTTAATTTTAATTAAACATAAATTATTATTTTAATTTCTTGTTAAACACAAACCTTTCAAATAATAAATTTTTGGCAAAAGCATACAATTCAATGTCTAAACTATTTAATTCTTCTATGTGGCGTCTTTGGTCGGGTCGTAGATTATGTATGGCCGATACCGATAAGGTGGTATTGTGCTGTTCAAACGGTATGGCAAACCTTAAATTAAACGTTTCTTCAAAAATATATTGGGAAATCTGTAAAATAAATATTTTAATTAAAAAAACATCAACAACTTTTATCTATATTATATAGCCTACCTTTTGATATTCCGTTAAACCAAAATATGCCATGGCTGCTAGATTTCTCTTAGCACTGGCCAACATAACACGATCTCTTTCGTGCGATGGCATGGCCGATTTGTTATAACAACCCACCAAAGCTAAATCGGCCAACATTCTAGTTTGTCGATTTGCCGCTAAATTTGAATCACAACCCGCAAACTCATCTATGGTTACATCCAACCAATCTTTGCCTTTATAACAGGGTGGCAATTCTTGTGTAGTGGCTTGTCTACCCAGACACCAGTGCCTTGAGCCCTTCCAGGTGGCTCCCCGTTTAACATGTCGATATTCCGACATATAGCGTGCTATAGGTTCTCGTAGTAGGGTTATATAGAAATATCTTCGTTTCGCCGATTCACCTTCGTTTTTGTCGAGTTCTTGATCGACACAAGAGGTTAGTTCAGTCCAATCGGCATGTAGGCCACATTTCCAACCGGTTGAGTAGCGTGAAAATAGCCAATTTTCATTGCGATGTGGACGGAAGCAATAGCAGCGTTTGCGCTGTCGTTGACACTCACAGGGTCTCTGTGGGGAGAAAATTTATGTTAGAAAAGTTTTATTAAATTACTATTTGATTTATAACGGTAACTAGATTCCTAATAAATTTTTACCAATTCTGATTAAAATTTAGATTTTTGTTAGTTCTTATTTGGTTCTAGTTCAGTTTTAGTTCAGTTCTAGTTCAGTTTAGGTTAGTTCTAGTAGAACTAGTTCAGATTTAGCTCATTTCTAATTCATTTCTAGTTTAATTCTAGTTCGAATCTAGTTCAAATCTAGTTCAGTTCTAGTTCAGTTCTTTCAGTTCTAGTTCAGTTTAGTTCAGTTCTAGTTCAGTTCTAGTTCAGTTCTAGTCAGTTCTAGTTCAGTTCTAGTTCAGTTCTAGTTCAGTTCTAGTTCAGTTCTAGTTCAGTTCTAGTTCAGTTCTAGTTCAGTTCTAGTTCAGTTCTAGTTCAGTTCTAGTTCAGTTCTATTCAGTTCTATTCAGTTCTAGTTCAGTTCTAGTTCAGTTCTAGTTCAGTCTAGTTCAGTTCTAGTTCAGTTCTAGTTCAGTTCTAGTTCAGTTCTAGTCAGTTCTAGTTCAGTTCTAGTTCAGTTCTAGTTCAGTTCTAGTTCAGTTCTAGTCAGTTCTAGTTCAGTTCTAGTTCAGTTCTAGTTCATTCTAGTTCAGTTCTAGTTCAGTTCTAGTTCAGTTCTAGTTCAGTTCTAGTTCGTTCAGTTCAGTTCTAGTTCAGTTCAGTTCAGTTCTAGTTCAGTTCTAGTTCAGTTCTAGTTCAGTTCTAGTTCAGTTCTAGTTCAGTTTCTAGTTCAGTTCTAGTTCAGTTCGTTCAGTCTACTTCAGTTCTAGTTCGTCTAGTTCAGTTCTAGTTCAGTTCTAGTTCAGTTCTAGTTCAGTTCTAGTTCAGTTCTAGTTCAGTTCTAGTTCAGTTCTAGTTCAGTTCTAGTTCAGTTCTAGTTCAGTTTCTAGTTCAGTTCCTAGTTCAGTTCTAGTTCAGTTCTAGTCAGTTCTAGGTCTAAGTTTCTAGTTCAGTTCTAGTTAGTTCTAGTTCAGTTTCTACTTCAGTTCTAGTTCAGTTTCTAGTTCCAGTTCTAGTTCAGTTCCTAGTTCAGTTTCTAGTTCAGTTCTAGTTCAGTTTTCTAGTTCAGTTCTAGTTCAGTTCTAGTTCAGTTCTAGTTCAGTTCTAGTTCAGTTCTAGTTCAGTCTAGTTCAGTTTCTAGTTTCAGTTCTATTTCAGTTCTAGTTCACGTTCTAGTTCAGTTCTAGTTCAGGTCTAGTTCAGTTCTAGTTCAGTTTCTAGTTCAGTTCTAGTTCAGTTCTAGTTCAGTTCTAGTTCAGTTCTAGTTCAGTTCTAGTTCAGTTCTAGTTCAGTTCTAGTTCAGTTCTAGTTCAGTTCTAGTTCAGTTCTAGTTCAGTTCAGTTCGTTCTAGTTCCGTTAGTCAGTTCTAGTTCAGTTCTAGTTCAGTTCTAGTTCAGTTCTAGTTCAGTTCTAGTTCAGTTTCTAGTTCAGTTCTAGTTCAGTTCTAGTCAGTTCTAGTTCAGTTCAGTCAGTTAGTTCAGTTCTAGTTCAGTCTAGTTCAGTTCTAGTTCAGTTCTAGTTCAGTTCTAGTTCAGTTCTAGTTCAGTTCTAGTTCAGTTCTAGTTCAGTTCTAGTCAGTTCTAGTTCAGTCTAGTTCAGTTCTAGTTCAGTTCTAGTTCAGTTCTAGTTCAGTTCTAGTTCAGTTCTAGTTCAGTTCTAGTTCAGTTCTAGTTCAGTTCTAGTTCAGTTCTAGTTCAGTTCTAGTTCAGTTCTAGTTCCGTTCTAGTTCAGTTCTAGTTCAGTTCTAGTTCAGTTCTAGTCAGTTCTAGTTCAGTTCTAGTTCAGTTCTAGTTCAGTTCTAGTTCTAGTTCAGTTCTAGTTCAGTTCTAGTTCAGTTCTAGTTCAGTTCTAGTTCAGTTCTAGTTCAGTTCTAGTTCAGTTCTAGTTCAGTTCTAGTTCAGTTCTAGTTCAGTTCTAGTTCAGTTCTAGTTCAGTTCTAGTTCAGTTCTAGTTCAGTTCTAGTTCAGTTCTAGTTCAGTTCTAGTTCAGTTCTAGTTCAGTTCTAGTTCAGTTCTAGTTCAGTTCTAGTTCAGTTCTAGTTCAGTTCTAGTTCAGTTCTAGTTCAGTTCTAGTTCAGTTCTAGTTCAGTTCTAGTTCAGTTCTAGTTCAGTTCTAGTTCAGTTCTAGTTCAGTTCTAGTTCAGTTCTAGTTCAGTTCTAGTTCAGTTCTAGTTCAGTTCTAGTTCAGTTCTAGTTCAGTTCTAGTTCAGTTCTAGTTCAGTTCTAGTTCAGTTCTAGTTCAGTTCTAGTTCAGTTCTAGTTCAGTTCTAGTTCAGTTCTAGTTCAGTTCTAGTTCAGTTCTAGTTCAGTTCTAGTTCAGTTCTAGTTCAGTTCTAGTTCAGTTCTAGTTCAGTTCTAGTTCAGTTCTAGTTCAGTTCTAGTTCAGTTCTAGTTCAGTTCTAGTTCAGTTCTAGTTCAGTTCTAGTTCAGTTCTAGTTCAGTTCTAGTTCAGTTCTAGTTCAGTTCTAGTTCAGTTCTAGTTCAGTTCTAGTTCAGTTCTAGTTCAGTTCTAGTTCAGTTCTAGTTCAGTTCTAGTTCAGTTCTAGTTCAGTTCTAGTTCAGTTCTAGTTCAGTTCTAGTTCAGTTCTAGTTCAGTTCTAGTTCAGTTCTAGTTCAGTTCTAGTTCAGTTCTAGTTCAGTTCTAGTTCAGTTCTAGTTCAGTTCTAGTTCAGTTCTAGTTCAGTTCTAGTTCAGTTCTAGTTCTGTTTTAGTTCAGTTCTAGTTCATTTCTAGTTCAGTTCTAGTTTAGTTCTAGTTCAGTTCTAGTTCAGTTCTAGTTCAGTTCTAGTTCAGTTCTAGTTCAGTTCTAGTTCAGTTCTAGTTCAGTTCTAGTTCAGTTCTAGTTCAGTTCTAGCTCAGTTCTAGTTCAGTTCTAGTTCTGTTTTAGTTCAGTTCTATTTCTGTTCTAATTAAATTTCTAAAATATTTCTCAAGTTGTAGCTTTTACACAAGAATACGAATCATCTAATATTCATATGTACAAAAATTTCATAAATTTCTTTCTTTCTGCCTAATAAAATTTCTTTACTTTACAACTATCATTTTCCAAAAGTTAAACAAGGCATTCATAAATTTAATTTCAATTTTAAAACAAACAGAAATCAATTTTGCAACTTTATTGAAAAATCGAACAACTGCAAAACGAAAAAAGTAATAAAATTTTATGAAGATTTTATTTACAAAAATGACAAGAAGAAATACATTCTGTAAATACTCGTACATGAACATACAAAAACATTATTAAAATTCCAAACTTGCAAAAAAATGTTTTAACATGAAATGACAAGCAAATCCTGACAAGATTTTAAAATGACAATTTATGTTAATTTTTTCTTGATAAAAAAATTTAAACAAAATAAAAATAATTTTGAAAAATAAAGATAAAAATAAATTGAAAATAAAATTAATGATTTAGTGACCATAAAAAGGATATACAAAAGTTAAACAAAAAGTAAACATTTTTCAACAAACTTTATATGAAAAAGAAACGAACTGGTAAAAAATAAAATTGTTGAAAACGAAATAAAAAAAATCAGCATTAAATAGACCATAAACCACTGCCAATAATGCCTAAAGCTCATAACCTGTCCTTGTGGTTTAGAATAATAATGAGCTTTTTAATTTAATATAAAGATTATGATGAACAGAATATGAGATTAAAGTGCAAAAAAGTTAATTTGGGTGAAAACGACTTGTGAGAATGCTATAAGGCTGAATTATAACTGAATGAGAATTGAACTAGAACTGAACTGGGCCTGAACTACAAGTAAACTAGAATCGAACGTAACATTTTGATGTTTGATGTGTATAATCACTACCAAAAACAATGGCTCATGTAGAGTGTATTTAGGCTAAATAATGACATTTTAAAAGTAATTCTTTAAAAAAAGAAACAACAAGAACAAATCCCAAGAAAAAGGAAAAAAATCAATCTCAACAAATGACCGTTTCAAAATGTATTGACCCTGAAAATTGCGGCAGTTTTTTCTCATTCATCCAAACTCTATTGTTATAATAACTTAAGTCGTTCATCACACAAATTGATTACATATAAATTTTTTTTCAATTTCAAAATCGTTTTTCCCTCAAATCAAAAATAAACAAATACTCACCTTTAAATCCAAGTCACGCACTAAATGACGACCAAATGATGTTCCTCCGGTTTTTTGTATATGCAAAAATACCATCACATCATGACCATCCATATCAAATTGAAAATCATCATTTAGTACATCGTCGTAACTTAAGCCAGCGTTGGCTATAATTATATTATTCTGTTGTATTGTTTTGGTCGAGGCCATTGGTAGTGGTTGCTGCTGATGCATTTGTTGCTGCAGCTGTTGATGAACTATTAAGGCTCCAGTTGCTACAGCCTGTGCTGAGGCCGCTCCAACAGCACCGGGTGGTAATGGTGGCTGCTGTGGTATATCATTGTATGATAATAAATCTGGTTGTAAAATCATGCTACGTTTTGATAATGCACAGACCTAAAAATGGAGTGAAAAAAAAATAAAGAAAGAATTTAGCAAAATTTTAAAAGTTTTGAAATTATGCACAAAGTATTGCGACAATAATAGAAATAAATCCCTTTTTTAAAAATGGTATTGCATTAAGTTAAGCTAATGTATGTATGTGTGTACACTCAAAAAAATAGTAATGATCATGATTTTAAATAAAAAACTGAAAGTAGAACTGAAATTAAAACAAACTAGAAATGAATTAGAACTGAACTAGAATTGAAATAGACTGAACTTGAACGGAAACTAGACTAGAACTGAACTAGAACTGAACTAGAACTGAACTAGAACTGAACTAGAACTGAACTAGAACTGAACTAGAACTGAACTAGAACTGAACTAGAACTGAACTAGAACTGAACTAGAACTGAACTAGAACTGAACTAGAACTGAACTAACTGAACTAGAACTGAACTAGAACTGAACTAGAACTGAACTAGAACTGAACTAGAACTGAACTAGAAACTGAACTAGAACTGAACTAGAACTGAACTAGAACATGAACTAGAACTGAACTAGAACTGAACTATAACTGAACTAGAACTGAACTAGAACTGAACTAGAACTGAACTAGAACTGAACTAGAACTGAACTAGAACTGAACTAGAACTGAACTAGAACTGAACTAGAACTGAACTAGAACTGAACTAGAACTGAACTAGAACTGAACTAGAACTGAACTAGAACTGAACTAGAACTGAACTAACTGAACTAGAACTGACTAGGAACTGAACTAGAACTGAACTAGAAACTGAACTAGAACTGAACTAGAACTGAACTATACTGAACTAGAAACTAGACTAGAACTGAAACTAGAACTGAACTAGAACTGAACTAGAACTGAACTAGAACTAGAACTGAACAGAATTAAACTAGAACTGAATTAGAACTGAATAGAACTGAACTAGAACTGAACTAGACTGAACTAGAACTGAACTAGAACTGAACTAGAACTGAACTAGAACTGAACTAGAACTGAACTAGAACTGAACTAGAACTGAACTAGAACTGAACTAGAAACTGAACTAGAACTGAACTAGAACTGAACTAGAACTGAACTAGAACTGAACTAGAACTGAACTAGAACTGAACTAGAACTGAACTAGAACTGAACTAGAACTGAACTAGAACTGAACTAGAACTGAACTGGAACTGAACTAGAAGCTGAACCAGAACTGAACTAGAACTGACTAGAACTGAACTAGAACTGAACTAGAACTGAACTAGAACTGAACTAGAACTGACTAGAACTGAACTAGAACTGAACTAGAACTGAACTAGAAACTAAACTAGAACTGAACTAGAACTGAGCTAGAATTGAACTAGAACTGAATTAGAACTGAACTAGAACTGAACTAGAACTGAACTAGAACTGAACTAGAACTGAACTAGAACTGAAAGAACTGAACTAGAACTGAACTAGAACTGAACTAGAACTGAACTAGAACTGAACTAGAACTGAACTAGAACTGGAACTGAACTAGAACTGAACTAGAACTGAACTAGAACTGAACTAGAACTGAACTAGAACTGAACTAGAACTGAACTAGAACTGAACTAGAACTGAACTAGAACTGAACTAGAACTGAACTAGAACTGAACTAGAACTGAACTAGAACTGAACTAGAACTGAACTAGAACTGAACTAGAACTGAACTGAACTGAACTAGAACTGAACTAGAACTGAACTAGAACTGAACTAGAACTGAACTAGAACTGAACTGAACTAGAACTGAACTAGAACTGAACTAGAACTGAACTAGAACTGGACTAGAACTGAACTAGAACTGAACTAGAACTGAACTAGAACTGAACTAGAACTGAACTAGAACTGAACTAGAACTGAACTAGAACTGAACTAGAACTGAACTAGAACTGAACTAGAACTGAACTAGAACTGAACTAGAACTGAACTAGAACTGAACTAGAAACTGAACTAGACCTGAACTAGAACTGAACTAGAACTGAACTAGAACTGAAACTATAAACTGAACTAGAACTGAACTAGAACTGAACTACTGAACTAGAACTGACGAACTGAACTAGAACTGAACTAGAACTGAACTAGAACTGAACTAGAACTAGAACTGAACTAGAACTGAACTAGAACTGAAACTAGAACTGAACTAGAATTGAACTAGAACTGAACTAGAACTGAACTAGAACTGAACTAAAGTATAAGTGAGAGAGATGAGCTAGAATTTGATTACATCGCAAAGTAATGTGTTAGTTGGTGTAATTAATCCCGGTTTACTGTACTTCATTATTAACATTCCATTTATCACATTTCCATTCATGTTGACACTAATTAAACTAAAATTTTTCATAAATTAATAAAAAAAACTGAAATTCACCACAGACTCCTACAACATTATTATTTCCTTCTGTAACAAGTAATAAACTTAATTTATTACATATTTTTCTGTGGTATACTTTTCTATTGAATGCATTTAGTGGTTGTATAACATTATGTTGCAAATAAATTTACAATAGTGACAAACACACATTATATACAAAATTTTTAATGTTGATTTTATTACATTTTTAATGAATTATATTTTTTCATAAAAATAATTGCTATTTTTGCACAGTAGCCAATATGAGTATTTTTAAATGTGTGTGCAAGTGTGGCAACTGGCCACTTTTTTAATCCATTCGCAGTTTTCATGTTCTTTTTTTTTTTTTGTAGAGTAAACTTCATTTAGCATTGAAAACAGTTGTGTACCAGAAAAGAAACACAATCCAATATACTGGCCATAATAATGGCAACATATTGTGGTTATAGAGTGCAAAAAAAAAAGTAAAATAAAAAATGAAAATTAACCATGTACCATAATATCCCAGCAAAAACTCGGTAATGGGTTGTACTTCCATAACCACTTACTTTTCAATGACTACTACTTACCGTCTGCATTACATAGAAGTACTCTAGTAATGACTTTATTATAATCTGATATAGAAGTACTTTATTTTCGGCTTTGTCATTTTGTTTGCACATTTATTTAATTGCGTTTTAAGAATTGTGTTTTAAAAAATAAAACAAAATTAGTTTTGTTTGAGAAAACCATTATTTGACGCGCAATAAATAGCTAAGCAGTGGTGCAGTGTGTAGAACATTTGACTAACAAACCGAAGCCCCTGGTTCGTATTCTAGCTGCTCTTTTTATTATTAAAAAACAAACAACTACTCAACAACTGTTTTGTAAGGGAAATTGCAAGTACTTCTTTAAGTCCCTATTTGTAAGCGTGCGTAGAAGTACTTGCCTCCAATGACATCACCATGTTAAAATAATGACTTAAAATGCTAATGAAGAAGTAGTGAAAAGAGGTTTTATTAGCTATTTAACTCATTACTTTTCAATGTAAGTTTTTCCTGGGATAGTTATGTACAATAGTTTATATACATAGTAGTACGCAAATAAGTTGCATACTTTTTTTCCATGTTGCACAAATTTTATTTCATTTTTATTCGATTTTTTTTTTTTCACATATACTTTCATAGTAGTTGCGGCCGTATGTGTGTTATTAAATATACGAAAAAGTTAATTGAATAAAAATATTTTGTTTTTTTCATATATATTTTTTATACAAAATGCTGCGATTGCTGTTGCAAGTAATAAAAGAAAACTCAATTGTAGTGTCCGCCAACATATTCAGTGAAAAAATATAAGAGTGTGTTTATGTTGGCATTTTCTTTAATTCAATATTGAGTCCTATCCAATTGTTTTGTTGTTTTATTTATATTTTTGCATTGTGTTCGTATGTGTTGCATGTAAAACATTAAAAATATTTTAAAGAACTATAAAGTCTGGCTGACTGTGACATTGACAGAAAAACTTTGTTATAACAACAGCAGCTTGTATATCATAAAAAAGTGGGACAATTAAAAAATCATGTTAAATTTATATTACAATTTTAAGTGCGATAAAGTGAGATATAATTTAAATAAATTTGAATTAAAAATATTTAATAAAAAATAGCTTTATTATTTATTGAAAATTCTCCAAAAACCGACATTTATAAAAAATTATATCTTAAGTAGGAATAGGCAAGGAGTAAAAAATCTAGTCTATAGTCTAGTCTATAGTCTAGTCTATAGTCTAGTCTATAGTCTAGTCTATAGTCTAGTCTATAGTCTAGTCTATAGTCTAGTCTATAGTCTAGTCTATAGTCTAGTCTATAGTCTAGTCTATAGTCTAGTCTATAGTCTAGTCTATAGTCTAGTCTATAGTCTAGTCTATAGTCTAGTCTATAGTCTAGTCTATAGTCTAGTCTATAGTCTAGTCTATAGTCTAGTCTATAGTCTAGTCTAAAGTCTAGTCTATAGTCTAGTCTATAGTCTAGTCTATAGTCTAGTCTATAGTCTAGTCTATAGTCTAGTCTATAGTCTAGTCTACAGTCTAGTCTATAGTCTAGTCTATAGTCTAGTCTATAGTCTAGTCTATAGTCTAGTCTAGTCTATAGTCTAGTCTATAGTCCAGTCTATAGTCTAGTCTATAGTCCAGTCTATAGTCTAGTCTATAGTCTAGTCTATAGTCTAGTCTATAGTCTAGTCTATAGTCTAGTCTACAGTCTAGTCTATAGTGTAGTATATAGTCTAGTCTATAGTCTAGTCTATAGTCTAGTCTATAGTCTAGTCTATAGTCTAGTCTATAGTCTAGTCTATAGTCTAGACTATAGTCTAGTCTATAGTCTAGTCTATAGTCTAGTCTATAGTCTGGTCTATAGTCTAGTCTATAGTCTAGTCTATAGTCTAGTCTATAGTCTAGTCTATAGTCTAGTCTATAGTCTAGTCTATAGTCTAGTCTATAGTCTAGTATATAGTCTAGTCTATAGTCTAGTCTATAGTCTAGTCTATAGTCTAGTCTATAGTCTAGTCTATAGTCTAGTCTATAGTCTAGTCTATAGTCTAGTCTATAGTCTAGTCTATAGTCTAGTCTATAGTCTAGTCTATAGTCTAGTCTATAGTC